CCCCCCCCCCCAGCAAACATCCGGTCATGTTACCAGCCCAGACTCTGCTTTAAAGACAGACTGCTGAGAACAGTTAGAACTTCATATCTACAAATGATTTGGATAGAGCTGTTGGCAGATCCTTTGTCATTTTTTTCAGACTCGATTTTAGAAATGAAAGGTTTCCTTGCCTCTTATGTCCAGCAACAATGCAAAGCGAATTCAGAAACCCTGGATGCCCGAGTAGCTCTGTAATTAGATTTGAAAACTACAATTCGTTGTTCTGATGTTTGTGTGCGCAGAAAAGAAATGAACGCTGGGGAGCGGCTGCGGGGATTCTTAGAGGAATTTTATACGCATCGCCAGCGCCCTGCATCTTGTAATTAATACTCTTCCTGTAGATCTTTAAAACGCCTTCGGTCTTCTGGATTTCACTGTGAATAGAGAACTAATGTTTCTCTGAGTTCGTATTATGTGCAAAGCATACTGCTTTATGACTTTTAACCTCAGAGCCGCCTTTAATAGGTGCGCTTAACAATTCTGGTTTTGCAGATTCACAGGGATGCGCAGAAGAGTTAGTTACCTTGCCCGAGTCTGTGTCCCTGGTTAGGCTTTGGAGCCATCGGTTCAAACACACAAGATTTTGTTCCCTCTTGCCGCTCACTAACCCACACGCCTGCCTTGTCCCTCCTGCTTTGGCTTGTCCGGGCTCCTGTAACAACGTACTCCAGACTGCGGGCTTATAAATAACAGAACTTTATGTCTCAGTCGTGGAGGCTGGAAGTCCAAGATCGAGGCGCTGGCCGATTCAGCGTCCGGCGAGAGCCTTCCTCCTGGTTTGTACGTGTGTCCTCACGTGGAGGAGGGGGCCGGGGAGCTCTCGGGGGGCCTCTTTTATGAGGGCACTGGCCCCATTTGTGAGGCCTCCGCCCTCATGAGCTGGTCACCCCCCAAAGGCCCCACCTCCAGATACCGTCAGTTGGGCATTAGGGTTCAATATACAAATTTGGGGAAACGTAAGAAGTCCGTCACTAGCACTGACCTCTGCTTCGTTTCAGTAAACCCAGAAGGGAAGGCTGATCACTTACAATCATGTTAGGGGTTCAAGTGGGTTCTGTGTGCAAATCCCACACGCGGCGCTCCAGCATCCCGAAACACCCCACCAAAAGCGGACCCCAAAGCACAATAGCTAAATGGGCAACAAAGCACCCGCTTTGTAAATGTCCAAGCAAATGCTTGCTTTGTCTGTGCAAACCCATGGTGAAGGCTGGAAAACAGGATGTGAGAGTCATGAGACTACATGATGTCCATTCTGGACCTCCTGGATTTCCGCCTGTCTCCCCGACTCTACCCTCCCACACCAGTGTGGGGTCTCGCTGCTGCGATCCCCAGAAAGACGTATACAAGGCACATACGCCCCCCTGCCCCAGTGCCAAAGGAATCGGGCAGTTGCCTGTTGGTAAATTCCTGGGGGCACGTGAGCTTCTGCTCAGGAAGAGATGGCCAGGCCTCTTCTCCTAGGGAAGGTCATGCCTCTGGCTTCCCAAGCAGCGTAGTGGATCTAGAAGGAGGAGAGGGCCAGCAGCTGAACTTCATATAAACATCGAACTTAACAGTGGCCCTGCTTTCCAAGAAGGACCAGGTCCACTGAATACCCCAGACAGGCTCTGATCAGGCTAATAGCAGACTCCTCCTGGAGGCAGGGAGGCGGATAGAGGGGCTAGGGAGTCGGGGAGAATCCTTTTCCCTATGAAAGGCGGTGAGGGAACAGCCCCTGCTCTCCCCACAAAAGCAGACGTCAGTGAGCGTTTATTGAGCGCGCTCTGTGTGCTCAGCTCTATACTAGGTGTCAAGGAAGAATCCAGAGAAAAGCTGAGCTTTGAAGGCCAAACAAGACATTCCCCCAGGAGACAGCACAGATGTAGAAGCAGCACAGTCCTCAGGGCATGTTGCCACTGGAGGGCAGAGAGGTGAGAGAGGGAGCCCAGGGCAGCCGTCGCGGCCCCGCGCGGCCTGGAGGGCCACAGACTGTGTCTGGATGGCAGCGGGGGCCACCCAAGAGATGAGGCTCCCTCTGAGCAGCTCTGAAAGTGGCCTCTGCAAGCTTCGCTTCTGCCTCGCGCTCTGGAACAAGGCATTCGCATTCTCAGTGGCTGCCTCGCGTTGTTGAGATGCACCGGCCTCGAAATCGGCCCCTCTTCTCCGGGGACTGTCTGACAAAGCATTCCACCTGCAGCTTCCTTCATTCGCCTCTCCTGGGGACCCCAGTATGACGGTATGCCGTTCAGCAGTGTTTTCCCCAGCCTGTTTGGGGGGGAGCTTCCCGTCTGCCCAGAGCCCTCTGGGAACCCACTGCTGCACAGACCTTCTGTTCTCATCTAGAACTCCTGCCGAGATTTCCTGTCAAGGTGATCCATAAAATCAAAACTGTGCCAGTATTTTTTTTAAAAAGGGAAAACATAAAACCTCCCACAATGAAAGCTGGGGGCCGGGGCGGGAGAGGCACTTTCCAGCCTTGGTGATGCTTCAGCAGGCACGGGGGTTTGCCAGGCTTGGTTACTCCCCCACCTTACAAACGTCTCCTCCCCTGCCTCCCCTGGTGCTATGTGCTCCTTCCTCCTGCGCGTTCGACCACACTTCCTAAATTCCCTTTGCTGCCTTCTCCTCTTCCAGCCCTTCAGCTTCTTCTGTGGCTTCATCTGTGGTCCCCTTACCTCTCACCCTCCTTGGGCAAAGCCTTCCTTCTCAGTTCTTCAGCCGCCACCTTTTCACTCCAGACCCAGAGTTCCACAGCCGCCCCCTCTGACTGCCTAACCTTCTGGATATCTCTGGCCAGGTGATCCACAAGCACCCAAAATTCAGCTGGCCCCAGATCAGATTCATTATCCTTCTCCTCTACCGGCCAGCTTCTCTTCCAGCATTTACCAGTTAAGACGGTAAAAGCACGAGTGCTATCCTTGACGACGCCCCTCTTCCACACGCGCCCTGCACACACATACAAAACACTGACACTACCTGCACGTCTTTCCCTGAATCTCCCAGTTATCAGTGCGGCTACCTTATGTCCCTCTCCTGGTAACTCAGGTCCCAACTACTTAAACCTCTGCAAAACACTTTCTCTCCTCTTTGCTCCATCCCCCACTGCCCACCACGGTTGTCCTTCGGATACACAGACCTGACCACGTCCTTCCTGATCAAGCTTCCGGAACATCCGTGCATGGCCTCCGTGTGGAGCTTGCTACACAGCATTTATGAAACCCCTTACACTCCAGCCCAACAGCCTCACCACTGAGTCAGTGGAGGTTCTAAACACACTGGTCACTCTTCTTCTGATGCTCTTCTCATGCTGTCTACTTCCCCTCCCCCAAACCCTCTCAAGGCCTGACCCAAATGTCACCTCTTTTGTGAAGCCTCGCGGGATTGCATTTCCTATTTTCTAAATGATGGTTGCTCAAAATCCTTCAGAGATCATAGCATATTATCCAATAGTTCATCATCTGTATGTCCATATTCCCCTTCAGATGACGATCTCCTAGAGGATGAGGAAGATGTGTCTTGGGTCCTGGTGCCCCATGATGCATGCCACTGTGCCTGGGAAGACGCTTGTTGAATGAATACGTAGGTGAAACCACAGAAGCAAAAAAAAAGATGACCGCAAACGTGGGAGATCAGTCACTCACCTAAGTGATTAGAATGGCACAGTGGACTTTAAATCCTAGCTCCAACAGTAAACTCGGTGACCCCGGGGAAGTTGCTTTTCTCCGAGCCTTAAATCTTCACTAAAAGAGAGATCAAAAGACTTCGTAAGTCCATTCCAAGGAATGGAGATAAGCTAAAGGAGGTGTCCAATAGATAGGGGCCACCATGGAACAGAGCTTTGGTGAGACCTTGAAGCTCAAGACGGATACTTGGGAGCGATGTTGAAACCTCGGGCAAGGATGAGTTCTCCTTACCTATAGTTCAGTTTGCATCCGGTAGGTCCCAAGCGGCACATAGTACGTTCCATGCGAAACTTGGTAATCACTACCAACCGAGCAGACAGGTGCTGGCATCAGACAGGTGCCGAGCAGACAGGTTCTTGGCATCAGAGTAGACCAAGAGGGAAAGTGTTTCATAAAGCCCACCCTCAAGGGGAAAGGGCATGTGGGTCCCTCCCACAGCCAGGGTGTTGAGATAAAATTCCAGTAATGTGTTGCCTTGGCAGCAGTCGCATAGTGAGAAAGATGAATGATAAAAGAAGCAAAAAAAAAAAAAAAAAAAAAAAAAAAGACGAGCAGAAACAATAAATCAAGCCAAATATCCGATGGTCATTCCAAAGTTTCTCACTACAGGGGATATTCTAGGGATGGATGTAATAAAAATGTCTCCTGCTGATGGTCCTTTTCTTAAACAAACAGAGCCTTAGAGAATTATTGGGTGCCAGGGGCAGGGAAGGGCACTCGTGGATGTGATTACCCATATTGTCCGGTGAGTGGGGATCAGACAACTGATGCCACATGACCCAACATTCTGGGTTTCCCCGCAGGGTGATGCCAATGGCCATCCAGTTTTCCATCCTGATCATGCTGCACTCGGCTCTGGTCCTCATCACCACGGCAGAAGATTACAAGTGTTTGCCTCTGGTCCTCCGGAAAACTTGCTGTTGGATTAACGAGACCTACTTAGCCCGGAACGTCATCATCTTTGCATCCATCTTGATTAACTTCCTGGGCGCCATCTTGAATATCGTAAGCATTCCAAACCCACCAACCCTCTGGCTTCTAGTGTGCAGTCAGGAATGAAGAGTTTATGGAGCCTGCAGCTTTGGCATCGGCTTCCTTGGGACCACTTACCGTCATGTGCCTGGTCCAGCCCCAAGCTTAGGGACAGGGAACAGAGATGGGACTACTGTCAGAACTGTGCATTTTACTGGTGGCAAACTGTCTTCTTCCCAGTGGGGGAGGTTATTTGCTCCAAAGGAGCTCAAGCACCCTTCAGTTTCTGTATTGTCAATGGCCAATCATTTATAATCATAAATAAGAGTTACCTTTAACTAAGTACCTACCTGCTATGTGCCATGCACTGAAGGAGAAGCTGTATGTGTTTTTCTTATTTAATCCTCACATGAACCCCGTGAGGTAAGTCTCATTATCCCCACTTTATGGCTGAGGAAACTGAGGCTCAGAGACATGAAATAACTTGCAAATAAGGTCTGTCTGACTCCATGACTCATGCTCATTCTCAAATGCTAAATTGTATCTCTGGGAGTGGGGGGGAGGGGGATGGAAATAAAATAGCTGTCCTTTCTCGAGCACCTACTATGGGCTACAGGTAGGTATTACTGTTCCCATGTAATGGATAAGGAAACTGCATTTCGGGAAGGTTGAGACCTTGCCTATGACTTCCTAAGAGTTCATATTTGTTGTGACACATTGAACTCAGATGACTCTCCAGCTGCCATATTTCTCATTGTTTCTAATTTGGTGGTCCATGTTTTAATGACTTCATTTTCTCTCTAGAGTGGTAACATGACAGCGATAGCATTTTCTGTGTATCTACGAACAGTCTGTGTTGTCCATAACTTAGTGAGTCTAGATTTGGGGAGTGATTTATCCGATTCCAGGTTATGAACTTGGCAGGTTGAGAGGGGCTAGTTGAGGCATCATCTTGTGGCCGAACCCATCACTGGGCCCTTTGGGCCTGAGGGAAGGTCTCCACGTGTTCAGGGACCCAAACTGTGGACTCCCACGACTGTCAGCCTGTGAGTCGGAGGCTTATACTGCTTGAAATTCATTGCCCAGGGTGGCCCGATAGTTACTTAGAGTCTGTGGAGACTCTCCAGTTCTGTGGTTGGCCTCGTAGTAAAGGATTCTATGGGATAAAGAAAGAGAGAAACCATAATCTAACTAACTCATTATCTCATGAATATTTTATAGATTATTGCAGTTGAAAATGGAAATGCTTAAGACCATTGATCGTGGCCTGTGGAGGTGTAGCCAGGATCTCGAGTCTTGAGGAGTCAGGTGTTTCTGGGGTGCAGGATTTGGAAATAAATCCAGTGGCTGTAGGTCAGGATTCTCTCTCGGCCACCGGGGCCACAGCAATGCAGTAGGAGGTTCAGAGGCTTTGGAGTCAGATAGACGTGCGATCAAATCTCAGCTCTATCACTTACCAGCTTGGGGATCCTGGACAAGTTACTTTACTTCTCGGAGTTTCATGTTTTTCGATCGTAAACTGGGGATAACAATGGTAGCTACATCACAAGGTGCTTGTGAGGCATTTTTGTCCAACGTGTCTGGCACAGAGGAGGCATTTGGCCAATGGTAGCCATTCTTCCCCGAGCACCACAAAATCTGCAGTAGGTGCCGGCTTAGGGAACGCCCACCGCCCCATGCCAAGAGTCTTTCTGGAAAATGTGCCCCTCGGATCCCTGAAATCCTCCCAGCTTTTGATGAGGGGACCGGCTGCGAGCGTACCTCAGACCTTTCCTCCTGCCATCTGGCTCTCTTCGGAGCCCCGCAAACACACCTCAGTGACCCTACGTGATGGGGCCAGCAGACCTGTCTCAACCCGGCTTCCTGGCTGGCTTGCAAATGCTTTTTTCTGAGCCAGGGCCTTCTCTAAAATGAACGAGGAGATCCCAGCTGGCACCTCCATTCTGGAATGACACCGTGACGGCACACAATCCTTGGTTCCCGGCACTCACACTGACTTTGTTGTTCCTGTGTTGTTGTTTTTTTGTTTGTTTTGTTTTCTTGTTGTTGTTCTTTTTTTTTTTAATCCGCAGCTGTGGTGTGATTTTGACAAGTCGATACCCTTGAAGAACCTGACTTTCAATTCCTCAGCTGTGTTTACAGATATCTGCTCCTGCCCAGAGGTATTTATTCTCGAGCTCCCCTTGGCGACACTTGGCCTAGGAGTCTCCTCCACCAGCTCCACACAAGCAGGACTGGCTGAAGGGTCTTAGAAAGTGCTCCAGAGACCCGTCTCCTCTTTCTGCCCCCTCCTCCTTCCCGTTCTCTGCCTTTCCTTCTCTCCCCTGCCTCTTCCCTGCTCCCACTTCTAGCCTTTCCCTAGTCTCCCTTCTTCTTCTTCCTCCTTTCTTCCTTCTTCACCTTTATCTCTATCCGTTTTCCTCTTCCCCCTTTTTCTCCCCCTCCCCCACTCATTTCCCCTGCCCATCTCAAAATCCTACCACAGAATGTGCTGTTGCTTCTTCCGGCGTAGGCAGGCTGCAGAGTTATGGCTCAGATGGTGTTTGCTGCACTGAAGAAGGGGGGGAAGGAAAAGAGGAAGGAAGGAAGGAAGGAAGGAAGGAAGGAAGGAAGGAAGGAAAGAAGGGAGGAAGGGAGGGAGGGAGGAAGGGAGGGAGGGAGGGGAAAAGGAAGGATGAAGGAAAGAAGGAAGGAAGAAAAGGAGGGGAGGAAGAGACCGAAGGAAGGAAGCTAGTAAATCGCAGACACAGGAAACCACCACTAAAGGCAAACTGCAGGACACGGGGTCAGGACATGTCCCAACAGATACCCACCATCATTATGTAAGTCTGACCTTCCCTTGATCACAGAGCCACTGATCTGGCTCTGGACCTCGGGGATCAAGCTTGCAGCATTCGGGCAAAGGACAGTTTTGGGTTGTGTTAGCCATGGCCCAGACCTTTACATTTGGGAACGGAAGCTCTGGGTCAAGAGAGAGGACGGCTGGGATGTCCCAGCAGACCCCGCCCATCCTCACACCCTGAGGACCAGGCAGACCGTAGTTCTGTAAGACCCGGCCAATATCTGGGTGGAGGAAAGGCTTTCTGTCTCAGCTAGCTGTGAGAAATCGGTGTTCGAAACGCCCTGAAAGGGAGAGAAAGCCTCATGCGCCGCACAAGGTGTAGACCATCTATTTGATGTGCAGCATTAAATGCAGCATGAAATCCTCAGGCTGAAACGGGCACCAGGAGGAGTGCCCTCCGTTTCACAGAGAATGCAACAAGGTCCTGGAGAGTAACTTGTTCGGTGCCACTCCTGCCTGCCTTCCATCCTTCCCCCCCCCCTCCTTCTCTCCTTCCTTCTTCTTTTCTGTCCTCTTCTTAATTCAGTTATCAAGACTTGGCACTGCCGTTCAGACCATACCTGGCTTGTTCTTGACCTCGTGCTTCTGGAGCCAGGCTCGGTCCCTAGGGAGGCAGTAGGCATTTCTTAAGGAAGTCCAGGGCAGGATGGGGCTAGCTCTCGTTGGGGGGAACCTCTTCCCACCAAGTAGTGACGGGAGCACAGATTTCGTGGACTCTGTGGGACACCAGCTCCCCGGGAACGTCTCGGTTTGGAGGGCAGGAGGGGTGTCCCAAGAGGCAGGAAGTTGGCCGACAGTCAGATGCGTAGAGCCAGGCAAAGCTGGACTGCGCTGCCCGCTGAGCCCCCCGTACTTGTTGCCAGTGGAATCGGGAATCAGTTCTTATTCTCTCTGAACCTCAGCGTCCTTGTCTGTAGAGTGGGAGAAATAATACCTTCCTCACACACCTCTGGTGGGAATGTCGTGTTCTCGTGGTGCCTCCGTAGGTGGGTTAGCAGATGCTGAGCTCCCAGCGTGTCATGGGACGCGAGCTATTCGTCTAGGCTTCCGCGTCCCTCTACGACAGTGTCTGCCCTTGGCCCCACACCCAGGCTCCCGCACTCAGGACCACGGCACACGTGGGGTTGCCGGTCCTAAGAAAGTGGCTTTTGGATCGTGTAGCATCACCTCTGGGCCTCAGCTTCCTTATCGACAAAGCGGGGATGAAAGTGGTACCTCCCTCAAGGGTGGTTGTGAGGGGCCAGTGAATTAATTACTGTAAAACGTCTAGAGGAACACCAGGCACACAGTATCTGCTCAGTAAACATCAGCCGTGATGTACGTATTATTTCCTGTGGAAGAGGTTTCGAGCCCGCCACCCCAGTATATGTTTACCTGTACGCGACATTCCCCTCTGGCTGTGCTAATGTGTCGCGTACACGGGGGACCATATTCAAAAACTAAAAATGTCTTAAAAAAATGAGTTAAAGTAAATGAGCATCTCAGTACTTTCCTCCCACAACCAAAGGATCGTCTTGCTCAGGAGTCCGCAAACCGTGGCCTCTGGCCAAAGACGAATCGCCACCTGTTGCGTAAGTAAAGTTTGATTGGGGCTTAGCCACACCCATTTATTACTGATGGCCCCCGGCTGCTTTCATAGTACGGTTGGCAGAGTTGAGTAGCTGCGACGGCCAAGATATATCCTGTCTGGCCGTTGACAGACAAAGTTTGCTGACTCCTGGCATCCCCTCAGACGCAGGACACCCGCTAGCCCAAAGGACGGGGAGCTGGACTCTTTTCCATCACCATCTACCACCAACAACCCGATTTGACCAACCGGTTGCCATCTTGGTAGATACATGGCTGTGCTGCTCTACCTAAGGATTTGTCTACCCAACGAGAACGAGACGTACAGACCTGGGAAAAGGCTTAATCCGCACGCAGCACCCCCCCCCCCCGTGGCTCCCCCACGTGTGCGTCCCCAGGCAAATCACTTACTTCACCTCCCTGAGCTTTGGTTTCTTCACCTGACCTCTCTGCCTCACCCCGTGATAAACAATACTCGGTCCCAAAGCGTGTTAGGAACTGGATGATGTGATGTAAAAATAGGAGGCTGTTGTAATGGATGGTAGTATCATGCAGCCTTGAACTGGAGTTGGCCCGTTCCTGAAAATGAATGAAGACGCAGTAAATGCCAGTGAAGAAAGCTGCATTCCCAGGATGATTTGAGAAGTAGGCTGGGGGGAGGGACGAGGCACAGGTTTGTAAAAGGAATATAGTTCCCACAACCGTTGCCTGGGGTTCTTGGCAGGATCCAAGGAAAGACCTGCAATAAAGACCTTTATTGCATACAATAAAGACCCCCTTTATTGCATGCACTGGCACATTTGAATAAAGAGTCGACTATGCAAAAGCAGTCAGAGCTTGCTAACATTTTAAAGGGTTCTAAGGGCCAGTCTTGCTTAGGGGTGGAATTATCCGTGTCTTTGCTCATTAAATGTCAGCTGTCATGATGAAGGTGAGAGAAGAAAGGCGAGACTGAAAAAGGAAGAGGAGAGGGAGAAAAAAGCCAGGAGTCAAAAAAGAGGAAGAGAGGGGCCCCTGGGTGGCTCAGTCGGTCAAGTGTCCGACTTCGGATCCGGTCATGATCTCGCGGTCTGTGAGTTCGAGCCCCGTGTCAGGCTCTGGGCTGACAGCTCAGAGCCTGGAGCCTGCTTCGGATTCTGCGTCTCCCTCTCTCTCTCCACCCCCCCCCCACCCCCCGCTCATGCTCTGCCTCTCTCTCTGTCAAAAATAAACATTAAAAAAAATTTTTTTTTTAAAGAGGAAGAGAAACGAGTAAAAGAAAAGGGAATCCGTGAACAAGCAAAGAAGCAGATTTTTTAAATTCCAAAAGTGGGTGTAAAAAGTAGTGCCTTCATTTCTCTGGTCAAGTCCGCGGGTAGGAGTCGGAACCCCAAGTGGTTTCGGAGGGAACTTGTTGAGTATGGTCTAAAATTCCCCAGCTGCCGTTCAGGATGAAATTAGGTTTTCCCACGCTTTTGCAGTGGTAGGCCCCCCCAAAACATCCAAACGAAGAATGAATGTTAGATGGCTTCACTATAACTTCAGGACTCTTTTTAAGTTGAACAGGGGGATGTTCTACAAGCCCGTTTATTTCTGCCCTGAGCCAGTTTCATATTATGCCTAAATCCGTAAAGGAGATTTATTTTTTTTTTCCCAAATGATAATCAATTTTTAGACTTGCCTTTTTCCCCACAAAGAGCCAAAAAGCCATAACAAGCACGGCGTGATCCAGAAACCAACCAGCCCCAGTTCACCAAAGCTTAGATTTCAGATCTTCAAGGGCAGTAATGGAACACGGGAAACGGAACAGGTGAGGACGGCAGAGGCTGTGTGGTGACCTCAGATGAGCGAGGACTCTTCTGACATTGACTTGCCGTGTGGCCTTGGACAAGTCACATAGCTTCTCTGAGCTTTCGTTTTCTCACCTGTATAAGGAGATTATTAATGATACCTATGCCATGAGATTGTTTGGGTGACAGAGCCAACACACAGAAAATACTCGACCTCATGAGCAGTGAGATCATGACTGGAGCTGAGATTAAGAGTCAGACGCTTCACTGACTGAGCCACCCAGACGCCCCAAAACACTCATTAAATGCTAGTTTCTTTCTTTCTTGACGTCTTTGGTAACTCGGGGAAAACAGAGGCTGCCCAAGTGGCAGTTAAGGGCCGTAACATGTTTTTTTAAATGCACAAGGCTTTGTGCTCCAAACACGAGATCATGTACATGGTTCTGCGCCCGATGTGTGACTAAACACTTGAACAGGCCATCTTTTCATAGCCTGCTTCCCTTTCTAATGCTGCTCTTCTGGCCTCACCCACTGGGTACGAGATGGTGACCACGTTGTGTGGCACCGTTCTCAGGGAGCCAGATCCTTCTAGACCCTGCGCTTGCTGCCCACGCCCAGGGAGTGGCCTCGGAGGGCACACACTTTATTCCAACAATCCCACCACGTTCCTCCCTGCCTGTTGTTCTCAGCTGACCGCATACACTTCCTAGATGTATGTCTAACAATGTCAAATTGCCGTCCTTTGGGAGCACATTTAATTTCTGGAAGTCACTGAGATGGGTGATCCGGCGAGACGTCGTCGTTTAGGAATCAAAACACAGAGAGACTGCGTTCTTGATGTTTTTCAAAAATGGGTTGTGATGGTCATTTACAAGGGTCTCAGCTCGGTCCTCAAAGAAGCAGAGACAAGACAAGCATGTAGTCTTCCAAGTGACCACACTGAGTCGGCTAGTGGGCACCACCAAGATCAGCATCATCTTATATT